TAATAGTTATGTCTTGCATTTTATAATAATACAATTTATTATTAATAATTAAGCAAAAACTCTAACAAAAAAAAAACTTTTGAACCATTTTTGAACTGGTGCAAACCAGTTCAGATCAGTTCAGTTCCAGTTCGGTTTGAATTGAAGTTTTTAATTTCAGTTCCAAACCGAAATGTGCTTTAAATTTTGGTTCGGTTTCAGTTCAACATTAGAACCGAACTGAACAGTTACATTAGGAGCTTTAGTTTGATAATTGGAAAGTTTTTTAATATCTATATTAATGGCAATATTGTTAAACTATTATCTATTATGAAATTTGTTTATTGCATATAAAATAGCATTATTATTTAATATAATAGAATTATATATTTTTATTTGATAGCTTTCAGCCTTATAAAAAATACGCATATTTAAAAATTACATAAAATATAATTAAAATATTATTGAAATATTATTAAAATATATTTAAAATATATTTAAAATATACTTAAAAAATACTTAATTTAGATAATAATTAGGTATATTTTAAGTATATATTTAAAATATACTTAAAATATTATTAAAACATATTTAAAATTAAATTATTTTAAGTATATACTAAAACATACTTATTCATTATCTAAATTAAGCATTTTTTAAGTATATTTTAAATATATTTTAATTATAAAATAATAATATTTTAAATAATTTTTTATATATTTAAAAAATATTTAATAAAATATATTTTAAATATCGTAATTTTTATAATGCAGAAGTTATATTTAATAATTTGATATATAAGTACAAACAGTTAATAAATTTTGCAAAACCTTTTAATATATTTTTGTTAAGATTCAAGTTGTCTCTATGTTTATTAATAATAGTGTCTAAAAAATTAAAGTCAAATAATTTTATAGTATATGTGAAAGCCACTGAAGTTTAATTTTTTTTACAAAATTTTATGCAACAATTTTTCAGCATCAAATCTAAAAATATAAATTTAATAAGTTTCAAAATATCAAGTGATAAATAATTATTTTTTATTTATATTTTTCATTATTTGTTTTTCTACTTTTTTCTTATTATTGAATTTTCACATAAGTTTTATGTTAACTTTCGTATGTCTCAATTGTATATTCATTTATTACTTTGTGTTTTCAAATTGTATCAACAATATGATAAATTTACAAGTGTAACTTTGAAAATTTTAAATTAGAACATGAAGTTTCTTGAAATAATTTAATAAATAAATCAATTCAATTATTGATCATTTTCTATATAATTAAATAGATTAATATTTTATTTTTATTATTTTTTTATATATATACAATGTTTTCTATTATGCTTTAAATAATTATTTTATCTAAAAATTTTGTAAATCGCTTTCTTTAAAATTTTTCAATTTGCTTAGTAAATACATTTCATTTCATTTCACATAAATTTCTGAAAGATTTTTACTATATAAACCATTGATCACAAATATCATAATCTTCATCATATCTCTATATTTACTTGTAGTTAATTAGGATAGTGATTGCATCCCATTTTTAAATACTTTTAAATCTGAATGTCTTGGAATTTTTACAATTCTTTAGTTTATGTTATCCACTAATTTTCCTTGCTCTTGTTTTAATAATTCTATAGTAAATTCTATTTGATATTAGAATAGACCTAGATCTAAGTGATGTATTTTATTAGATACAGTTGCTGCATAAATGTTTAAGTTTTTAAATTTAGACATATCAAGTTAGAATATATCCTTAAATATATAAAATATATAAATAAAAACTTATAGAATATTTCAAAAGTAATTATTGACTTATTCTAAACTTGCTAAATTATCTGTATCATCATTAAAATATTCTTTCATATTTTCATTATTACAGGATATTATTTGATCTTTTCTTGTATTTAAGAGATTTTCTTTTCAAACTAAACAAAAATAACAAATAATTTAAACTAGGTAAACAGGATCTGTTGCAAGTCTGGAGCAATTACACAAACTAATCTACATTGTACATGTTATATGTAGAATATAAATTATGTGATATTAGAATAATTAGTTGTACGATATATGTTATTAAAATTTTATAAGATTTTCTGAAAATAAACTTGACAGTTAAAATATAATTAAAATATCATTAAAATAATAATCGTAAAAAATAACTATATCACTGATAAAAATGTATAATTTAAAAATAATAATTATAAAAGTATAACTATATCACTGATACAAATGTATAATTAATTATTAGCAAAAATTAAAGTTTAATAAATTCTATGGTTATTTTTATATATTTTACTATAATGTATTAATGAAAAAGTTCAATTATTTAAATAAAAGACTTAAAATTCTCAAATTTTTAAATGAATTATTGATAAAACTCAAAATTATCCATTCAAAACTAAATTTATTTTAAAATAAATATTAAAATTCGCAAAACACGTAAACAAGCTATTATTTTCTTGGAATAAAAATATTTGTTTATTAAAATTTTGTTTATTATTTACCTAGTTTACGAATAAAGCACAAGAACATATCAAACTCTACATTGTCTTTTTTCAAAGATAACAAAAATTAAAAAATAATGACAGATAGAATGCATCAGGATGTGCTTAGAAAATGGAAATGCAGGGATAATGAGACTCCTGAACAATGTGAAAAGCGTCAAGCATGTGACTGGGAAAATAAAACTAAGAAGGCCGCTAAAACTAAAAATCAACGTAAAGCAAGACTGGTTAGAGAAAGAGAACAAAAGCGCAAGAGAAGAGCATTGAATAAAGGACTTAGCTTAGAATCTGTTGACAAGTACTCTAATAAAAAAAACAATATGGAAAAATAACAAAGGTTTAAGTAGATAACAATAATATTTTTTTTTTGTTACTAATAATTATACTATTCTAAGTATACAAAATCGCAGGATATCTTCCACTGGTTGAAAATTGATAAAACATACACATATCGGATACCCGATATGTGTATGTTTTATCAATTTTCGACCAGTGTTCTGCTCCACTTGAAACTGAGTTCCTTTCTGAATCGGATCATATACTCTTGTAAAAATTTAGAACCACTATAAATAAATTTGAGAATAATCTTTGTCCTTTATGCAATGAACGTTTTTCGTCGATCAAATTAATTACAGGAATGTGTAGACTATACTTACACGCAAAATTATTTTGGGTCCCGAAATTACAATTTCGGAAAAAAAAGTCAAAATAGTTTTTCATAGAAGACGAAATTATTTTACTTAAAACCCGAAATTTTTTGGCCACCCAGATTTATTCTTTAATTAAAGATACATATAATTAGGTACTTTTTTTACTTCCATATATAGAATAGATTTTGTATAAATCTCAAAAAGTCGAAATACCTCAAAAATTCAAAATCAATTTTGGGAACATGTATAATGTAGACATTATTACAATGATAAAATTATCCCAAAAAAATTTCTGTAGGAAACAATGTGGATCCGGGTGACATACCTGAGGAGCTTTGAGGATTTACTGAGATTGAAGAAATGCTAATTGCACAAATATTTCCTGTAATCTCAGTATATTATCTTTGTGAAGGCCAGTATATATATAAAAGAAACGTCATTAACTTTCCTCAGGATATGCATGAGTTTGCCACACGACTTCCTCGAAGTCCACCGTCCCTGGATATACTTGTTGTGCGTTGAAACTCTGCATGTGAATTGATTTTTCAGGATTTTAATGTTCGTCATACTAAAGTTGCTCAGGTGCTTTTCTGGCTAAAAGTGAATAATCGTTATTACACAAACATCATTATTGATAATGAAGTGTTACGATTACTACCTGATAACAGTCCCGTTGACAAACATTTTCAACAAATTCAAAATGCTGAAGATGAATGTGACGAAAATGAAAGTGAACGATTAAACAATGAATAATTAAACAATAATGAAATTGAAATTGAGGATGAAATTATATGTAACTTTGTTCCTGCTTCACCACCAACTCATTGTGAAGATGATGCAATTCGCGATACTCTTTTCCAAATGCAAACTAAGAATGCGTTAATTGAATGGCCAAGTATTGATGGCAGTCCCATAAACGAATTTCAAACACCCGGGTATATTGTACGTACCTTCCTGACCTTGTATCCAAACGGAAATGCCAATCTTCGAGCAGTTCGCCCAAGAGATATAAAACTTGCTGAGTATTTTCAACATATGCTTAAATACAAAGATAGAAGATTTATAAGTCATACCCATTGGCGTTACTTTGCACTTAATTCACAAATACGATGGAGAGCGTTGCAGGAAGGGAGAGTCTATGTCAAGTAAGGTTTAAATGACAAGCAACTAAATGTGGAAGAGGTTCAAAGAATGTGTGAAAGAAACAATCACCTGGTTGACTAAGTTATACAGTTCAGTGAAGGCTTACGAGGAACTCGTCAATTTTGAATTAAACGAAAAATTGAATTGACAGATATGATTAAACAATTAGAAACTCAAGGAATGGTTTTTTTTACATTCAGTGCTGCAGACTTACACTGGTCAGATCTCCACAGACTTATGTCGCACAGCGAGAATCGAATAGAGAATACAGTACAAGATACAGCTAAGTCTCAACGGTGAAATTTGATAAACAATCTTCATATAGCTACATGGTTCTTTGAGAATCGCTTCAAATCTTTTTTAGAAGATGTGCTGATTTCCAAGTGAAATTTAGAGGATTGGTGGTATAGATTCAAGTGGCAGCATCGCAGAAGTGTTCATATATATGGGATCGAAAAATAAAAAGATGCGTCATTAATTGAGTAAGAGAAAATGAAAGAAGACAATGAGATAATGGCAAGAGTGGTACAATATCTAGATTCCTTAATTACTACAATAAATTCAGAGATTGATGCGCCTGTACCCAAACGGCACCCTTGTCAGAAAACTTATAATGAGTTGTGTGACAACACGTAAGATTATGTCAAGCTTATTAGTAAATTACAACGCCATACAAGATGTAATCCTTCATATTGTCTTCGGACCAATCGTGCAGATCAACAATCTTGTAGATTTGGATATCCAAAAGAGATTGTAGAACATATCTACGTACGGGATGATAATCATGGCCGTCCAGAACTCATTACCGCAAAGAATGATTCTTATATCAGCTCACATGATCGACTTCAACTGCAGGATTGACGGACAAATGTAAATTTAAAACCTGTTCTTAGTATCCACACTGCTCTTCAGTACATCACCAAATACGCCAGCAAATCTGAACCACAATCAGAAGCCTTTTCTGAAGTATTGAACCACATTCTTTCTAATAACAAACTTGATAATCCATCTCTCGCGTCATTTCAGAAGTTACTACTTCATACTGTTGCAAAGTGTAACATCTCTGTATAAGAAACCTGTCATTTACTTCTCAGTATCCCACTATACTATTCTAGTTGTCAGTTCATTTCCCTAAACCTTAACAAAGTTGCACCACAGTTGCTTTATGAAAATGAATCCAAACTGATCAATGAAGTTAGACAAATGTCACAATCACCCTTACAGAAGTATTGGAATCGATCTAAAGAGTTTGAAAATATCTCTCTTTTTCTGCTCCACCTAAAATACAAATTTATAAGGAGTGATTAAAGACAGGTTGATTGTGAAAACATTATCCGCATATGGCCATAACCAGTACCACAGCAAAATGGTCCTCAATGGGAAGAATTCTGCTGATTGAAGGTTATACTTCATGTTTGCCATCAAAGCCTGAAGCAATTGACTATGAATGAAACAATTCCTTGAATAGAGCTTTTTGAATCTCATATTGCAGAGATTGAAAATGATTCTGATGATTTACTCAGTTCTCCTATGAATTGTGATGAAAAAAAATTTAATGAGGAGGAAGATGAAGAACAAGACAATGATTATGAGACAGAAATCTGATCCAAGTGAATAATATTATTGGAAATGTGTCCAAATACAATTATTGAGAAAAATTCAGATTTAGGTTTGCACGAAATCAATAAAAACCACGATTAGGTTGATGATATCAGGTGACGTCAACTTACTTTAAACCTCGAAGATATAACAAACTTGCTACAACAAGTTCATGGCGAAAATACGATAGATGACAAAAATTTAATTCCTACAATAGATTTGAATACTCTAAATGAGAAACAGATGTTAGTACTCAAACGGATAGAGGAACATTACAATGCAGTGATTACAGATCACAGCAATGTTGAACAACCTCTTAGAATTATTATTATGGAAACTGCAGGAACTGAAAAATCTTATTTAATTAAATGAATTTGGCAACAGCTACAAGAAATGACGACAGATCATGATGTTAAGACACCTATACTTATACTTGTACCAACTGGGGTTGTCGCATTCAATATCCAAGGAACTACAATCCACTCGGCACTCTCCATCCCTGTAAACAGCACTAATTTCGATATAACTGGTGAATGGCTAAAGCAACTACAAAATAGATTAGATGGTATTAAATATATCATTATTGATGAAAAAAACATGGTCGAATGTAGATTGCTCTTCATAATCGACATGCGATTACGTCAGGCTTTTTCTGAGCAGAAAGATCAACTTTTTGGTGATCAATCTGTTATTCTAATTGACGATTTTGAACAACTCCCACCTGTAATGGATGATCCAATGTACACATAAACAACCTGACGTGATCCGTTATCAAATGATGGAATGTTTGCATACAAACAGTTTCTAGAAATTTATAAGTTTGATGTAGTTCAGCGGCAATCTGAAAACTCCAAAGATCAATGCTGTTTCAGAAATATTTTGTTACGGCTACGTGATAGTGAGTTCATAATGGATGACTGGAGAACACTTATTGAAAGATTCGCTGATCTACTGAATGTGGATAATGAACAATTTTCAGAAGCAACATGTATTCTATCTCGAAAAGCTGATGTTGATGAGGTTAATCTTAGTAGACTCAGATCCTTAAACTGTCCCATTGTCAAAATTCATGCCGCACATACAGGTGGTCGTGAAGTATCTAAGGCAGATTGTAACACAGCAAAAGGTCTTGAAATCAATTTACTACTGTTTGGAGGTGCGCGAATTATGCTTAGGGCTAACTTATGAACAGAGGTAGGATTAGTCAATAGTTTAATGGAAATGATTAAAGAAATTTTATTTAAAGAAGGTCAGAGCTCACCTTCTCTTCCCAGTGCTGTCCTTATTGAATTCAATAATTATACCAGTTCCGCTATTATAATCACGGACGGAAAAAGACTTGTTCCCATAATTCCTATTCGACAAACCTGAGAGTAAAAAAATATCGTTTGTTCCTGATTACAGCTTTCTATTACATCAGGAAATTTTTAAGGGCAGATAACTCCGTAAGTTTTCGGGATGTAAAATTTCTGTAAATTTTTGTATAAATTTCCGTAAATTTTCGTAAATCTTCAAAATTTTTTGATATAAAATTTTGCGAAAATTTTTGCAGAAATTTTCAAAATTTTTTTACATCAAAAGATTTCGTTAATTTTTACGGAATATTACGAAAAGCTTTTCGTAAATTTTCGATGAAAA